TTTATATAGCTTCAGCCAGAACAAATGTTCTTAAAGATGGGATTGTTCACCTGACTCTCACAAGAATTATAATCTTAGGAAGAATCTTTCTACTCTCCCAGGCACTCAGTAAGCATAGCTAAGGAAATAGAACATCCCCAAACCACAGTGTTCTGGCCCTTCACAGAAGAGCTTTTATTGGGCTGTGCTCTGAGAGTATGTCTCTGGAGCTGCAGTCAATGACGTTCTAAGAAACACTTATTATTAACTTCTACCACAAAACTTCCATTGTCTTCATGGCAGGGACCATGTTGAAGACTTAGATCTCTATGGCAACAATGACTGCTTTGAAGAACCGCCAGGAGAAAGCCATCCCAAGTTTCAGGACCAGGAAAAGCTGTGTAACTGATCTCATTTTATCTCATGGTCGCTGTGGATTGAGTAACTATTTGTGTTTTCCTCTTTGTTTTGGTTACTGGGAAGCTCTGACAAATTTTTAATCCCATCTCCCGAAACTACACCAAACCTTATAGTAAACTCATCTCTAGAAATTACCTGCACCTTATAACATAGTCTTGTTCACTAAATTACCTTTGATTTTATCTTGCTTCCTTATCTGTGTGTTCTCTTTACCCCAGTTTCATTATTAATTTTATGTTGTTTATGCCTCAAATGCTTTATGGAACCAGAAACACTTAAGGCAAACAATTTTTAAAAGCATCCGATGATAATAATTTTAAAAAGAGCTAATTTATTGAACATTACTATGAACCAAGCACTGTCCTAGGCACTGGACCTATTTTAAGTTATTTACCCTAAATATGAGATAGGTAGAATTATTACTATTCCCACTTTACAGATGAGAAAACTGAGGCACAGAAAGGTGAAGTAATTTGTCCAAGGTCATACAACAAATAAATGATGAAGGAAAGATTCCAACCCAGGTGTTTCAAATGACAACCGTTTTACAAAAGAAGAAATAATAATATTTAATTTCTAAAAGAAGCAGAGGCCTTCTGATCTTACAGGCTGAGCTTAGCATCCTTCAGCTTTAAAGGAGATATCTATTATACATCTTGTCCATACAATCATGCCCGATGACCCATATTAACAGAGGGGAATGAGACAGTAAAAGTCAAAAGGACAGTTAATCCAAACTGACTTTTGACCTTTAAATATGAAGGTATTCATTCATTCACTCACTCATTCATTCACTACTCATCACATGCCACCTATGATGCAGCTGCTGGGAAGAGAGATGAAACAGATATAGTACCTGTCCTCCAGGAGTTCAGGTGCAATAAGGGAGGGTCAGACAGGTAAAGGGCACGTTGGGCTTATGAGTTGGCTGATAGCAGACCAGGGCAGGGTGTGGCATGATCATTCTGAGAACAGTTTAGCCCTTGGCCTCTCTGTCCATCTGATAATGGGAGTAAGAAAAATCAGCTCCCTTATAGGGCTGTTGGGTTGATTTCATACGTAGAAAGCTCTTAGCCTAGTCAGGCACAAGTATTCAGTATGAGGTAGCCTTTGGCTCTTAAGGCACAGTGGATGGCAGCCTGGGCACCTTGCTCTGACACACACCTGCACACACATGGGCCCAAGTCCTCACAAGCTCCCTACTGCCTCCTCTTAGATACTCCCAGGAGCTGACAGGCTTACAGTCCATAGACAGGCCTGGCACTTCCTTTCTGGATGCCACCATCTCAAATTCAGTGTCTCACTGGAATACATCGCCCACACAGGGTGAATATTTCTTCAAGATGCACTTGAAAATCTTTCACAGAGCCTGGCCCACATAATGCCCACCTGGCATTTTTGCCACATTTGCTCCGCTTCACTCTATCTCTTTGGCACTTCAGCACGGCAGTTCACCACACGATTCCCCTGCTGCAAAACGGGTCGGGTTCCTGCTTGGGCAGGCCTAAGGAAATACCCAACTAGAAGGGCAAAGGGGAAGTTTCAAGTGCACTATTGGCTGAAGTCAGTGAGAAAACTTATGTGTTGCACCTGCTCCGCATCAGCTGGGAACCGTCCCTCCCTTCGGTTGTGTGCGGTGGCTAAATAAGAAGTAATTAATCATTTTCTCACCAACCCTAACTCATATTTAATAGTTCCCTCTCGAAGTCTGTTTTGTCATGCTCTCAGCAGAGTCAGTCAAACATTATGATTCCTTTCTAAATATTCCAGCAGCCAGATGGCAGGAACACTAACTGTGACATGGCAAAACTCGCCTAAAGATAACTTCGTGATGCATAATCACGCTTGATGGCACTCAGCTGAGCAGATCCATCCAGCTACCTCTTTACCTGCCCCACTTAATCCGGCTTCTTCAAACCCAAACTTTCTAATTCCAAGAACAAGACAAACATTCAACTCTGCAATGTGATATTAGCTGGTAAAACAAACACGATTCTACTCCTCCGGCTTCTGAATTTTAGGCAGAAGGATAAAATCACTAGAAGAACACGCTTTAGGACACATTTCTCAAGATTTCTCTCTAGATAAAATATTCCTGTACCCTAAAGTTTCAAATGTTTCTGCACCAAATGTAAGTATATTTACAACACGTTTGCTGGAAAACAAATTTCTGTCCTTCTGCTGAGTTATTTTTGTAGGTTTTTTTTAAACATAGGCATTGATAAACATATATTTATAAATTCTAGAATGTAGGAAAGTTGACTGTTTTTCCCTAGTGAAAATCCTACATGTTCTCTAGAGTAAATTACATTTTGGTTTCTCAGATCTTTTCTAGGTTATATTATTTATTTTGTGTGTGTATTTAAGTGACTGCAAAATCACAACCTGTACTGTATGATTTCCGAACAATAAATCTCCTAAAAACAGTGTTTCCAGGCTGGGCCAGCTGGCTTTCTCCTGTTCCTAAAACTGTATGTTCTTAAACACACACACACACACACACACACACACACACACACTTCCTCCATCCCTTCCACTGCTGGCTACCTTCAGTCTGTGACACAATCTCACACTCACAACTATATGAAAACAACAGAGGCTCCTGGAAAGGAACTAAAAGGGGGCACGGCAGGAAGCCAGTCTTCAAGTCTCTGTCACCCTGATGGCTCTGCCCTGATTCAGGTGGCTGAAAATTGCTTGTTTATGGTTGCACGTATAGAATTCGAAATCTGTGTACCCAGGTTCTTAACCCTGCTCCCCTGAGTAAGGCATTTAACCTCTGTGACCTTTTATTTTCTTGTCTGTAAAAAAAAAGGCACAATAACAATACTGCCCTTAAGGAAATGTGAATCATGTGAGGTGATTCGTGTAAAGGCATTTGGTAAGGCCCTCTGCAGTGTGTATTTCATTTCCCGTTATTGCTAAACTTTCTTTGCTCCCTGTTCTTATTTATTTATTTATTTTTCTGACTTGGCTTCTGTGGTTTTTAAATGTATCTCTAAAATTCATTGGCTGGAAAACTGCAGTAATCTGTGTGCTACTATAATGAGTGGATTTTTAGCATTAAATTTTTATTTACTTTTTTTTTACTGAGGGAAAGCATAAGTGCACAAATCTCAAGGGAATAACCTCACAAATATCTATATGTGTACACCTATGTTACCATTACTTAGGTCGAGGTAGGGAGCATTTCCGGCACCTGTGAAGCCTCCTCTTCTGTCCAAGTCATTACCAGGCCCAAAGGCAACCCAATCCCTCTTCTCAGCTTCGTCCCCATTAATAGCTTTGCCTAAAATTAAAAAAAAAAATTTTTGTTTTTCAGGGGAGGCTGGAGTCCCTGCGATAACTACTACTGCTGACCAGAAGAAATGTACTTCTCTTCCCTCTAAAGAGATAAAGATTCTGTAAAGGAGAGAGGCACGAACTTTCTGAATCACACAGGTTATGCAGAACAAAGCCCTCATTTTGCAGCCAAGGACACCCCCAGGCTCGAAGAAGCGAAGTGATAGCCCACCTTCCTGCTGCAGAGTAACTTTCCTTCCAAACAGAGCCCGTCACAAAACAGCGCGAGCGTCGGGGATGTTGTCGGCTCGTCCCAGCGCGCCAGAACAGCTCTCCCGGCCTCTCCCGGGAGAGAACTTCTTTCTACGGAGCAGCGCGCACTGGGTCCCCACGCCGCCCCCGCTCCCGTCGCAGGCACACCCACGCGGCTAGCAAGCCACGCTCAGAAGGCGCTGCTCCTGCGAGCCAGTGCCCGCCTGCCCACGGGGACAGGGCTAGGCTCCCCGTCCTCCAAGCCCCACCCGGAGATTCGGAGCGCCCTCTCCCCCAGCCCTGCTCCCGCATCCCCGCTCCACCTCCGCCTCCGGTGCGTACTGAGGAAGGCGGGGAATAGGCTCTGCCACTTTCTCCCTTATTCCTCCAAAGGAGGCTTTAAAACCCATGCATGGCCAGAATTAAATCGCTGGAGCACAGACTACTGACCTCTGGGGCCTGGAGATGAGCACTGGGAAGGGAGTCCCGAGACCTGCGCTCTGGCCCCAGTTCAGTCGCCACGAGCTGTGTGACCTTGTGTAAGTCACTTTACATCTCCGAGATTGGCTTCCTCATCGAGGGCTTCTGTATCCCCCAAGCCACCTTCAGTTCTGCAATTTCCTAGCTGCTCTTTACTTCGCTCCCGCTCATCCCGCGACAGCCCCCTCCCCAGCGAGACCCCAGCCTTTTGTTCTGGGGGTGAAGCGGGAAAGGGAGGAACGGAGAACTTGGCGAAGACCAGGCCCGGGCGGCCTTGTCGCCAGGGGCCGCTCTCCGGATAGTCGGGTCGGTGGAAGTCACCAGACAACCCCGCGGTGACCTCGTTCCCTCCGCGGTCCCGTTACGGCCGGGCCCTGGAGACGCCGGGCAGCTGGCGGCAGGCTCCTGGGCAGCGCAGCGCAGCGCAGCGCCCCGGGCTGGGGGCGCCCGGACACCCGCATGCGCGCACGCAGCACTCCTGCACCCGCCGGCGTTTCACTCAGCTCCGGGACGGCCCGAGCGCCCACAGCTGCGGCTCGTCCCTCCTCCCTCCGGCACCGACCCGGGCACGCGCGCGGAGCCGCTACCTGCCGCTGGTCGTGCCGAGGACAGGACAGGATTCGTCTCTGGCCGACGTCCCCCCCGCCGCCGCCGCCGCCTCTAGGCTCCGGGCTCCGTCCCGCAGCGTCCGTGCTCCAAGCGGCGCCGCTGGGGCCAAGCTGCGCTGGGTGCTGCGCTCGGTGAGCGCCGCTCACTCCCCGGCCGCCAGCTCTGGGGCTGCCGGGACGCGGAGGCGGGGCCGTCGCCCCCACCTGCTCCTCAGGCTCCTGCCGGGGAGCCGCAGCCGGCCCGCGCGCAGGGACGCGGCCCGGGCGGGCGGGGTCGCTCTGCAACCCGAGAGGCGGGTCCTAGCCTCCCTGCGCGCCTCTGCCTGACGGAGGCCCAAGTCTAATCTGAGGAGAGAGTCTAAGCTTGCGGCCCAAGGCTGGAGTTCCCCACATAGGAGGGGCTGTGATGCGAGCAACACCCGGCCCAGCCCCGCCAGGCTGGGGACACTCCACTCCTTCATCAATTTATTCCAAAATATTCTGAGCCCCTCCTATGCTCCAGGCAGCGTCATAAGCCGGACAAAAGAGAGAACGAGATCGTCTCGTGCCCTTGCGGAGTTCACGGTCTAAAAAGGGAAACAACAAATGGACAACTATACCGCAGAACCAAGAGGGAGCGGTCATAGAGGGGGCCCTGATCCAGACTTGGGGAAGTCAGGGAAGGCTTCTGGAGGAGCTGGTGGCTAAAAGAACTGAAGGATGTGCATGAATTATCCGGTTGGAGTGACCTGGGGAGGTAGATTGTCCCAGGTGGAGCCGAAGGGGAGAGGGAGCCGACTGCCGGAAAACTGAAGGGTCTAAGGAGCCGAAAGAACTTGGTATGTCCAGTAAATCCTTGCCACACTTCACCTTCAGACCCCTGGAAAGATGCAGAAAGATTGTGTCTGAGGCTGGATGTATTCCACTAGGCGCATGATTGGTTGGTGAGGATTTCGAATCTCCCACGTGCTGCGCATTCCCGCTAATGGAGGATACTCGTGGACCGTTCACTGCAATTTACCCGAACATCTGTGAGCCAGGCCCTCTGCAGGACCCTTAGCATGTGCTGTGGAAGGAGGCTGTGTCTCTACGCAAAAGGAGCTACAAGTCTGCAGTGGGGGAGAGACGTGTACTCAGCGCTTGGATGAGGTGCATGGGAACACAGGTGAGAGAGCAGTTAATGCTGGTAGGGAGGGGGATCTCACACATGGATAGCAAACCGTCTCCAGGTTCAGGTTCTGTAGCAGCTGCTGTCAAAGTATGTTGCCCAAGCAGACCTTAGCTGGTTTCTTAATTACTAGTGTTTACAGGCTGACAATGTGAAGGCTTATATTTACAGCAAGGATAAATAATTCACTCCTGATGCTGTTCCTTCCTGTGTTGTCAAGAACGTGGGCTTCTGTTTGACTTAGGTGAAGAAGGTGTAGTCAGTGGAAGCCAATGAGGTACTTGCTTCCCACCTGTTTGTCCTGTGCAACTCATGCCTTTCCTCCTTTAGAACCAAAATAAATGGGCATGGGCATGAAATGTGAAAAACTGTGCTCAACCTAAAATTCATAAACCGTTTTGCACAGGTGATCACTAAAAGAAAAACATCTGAAACATTACCAGACAGTTTCCTTCTTGGGATCCCTAATGTGTATTCTCATTAAATACAAAACTACTAGTATTCTAATACAAAAGGAAGGAAAGGTAAAAGAGCAGAGAAGACATTTGCATGAGCCCAGAGTTCCCACCAGGTCTTCTGCTGAATGGCCCAAGCAGGAGTTAGTCGAATGGAGAGGCTGTTATCTTAAGAGATAGTTGTGAGCTGGCGTGGATCAAATAATTTGTGCAAAAAGGCTACTGGTTGGAAAGGATGGAGAAATGGTGAGTGAGGAAAATATTTGGAAAGTGGGGACATTTGTGCTGAAAGCTTCAGGTGCCCAATGTCTCATATCCATGTGACGTAACTGTGCCATTGATGCCTTGTTTTTATGGACATTAGAGAAGGATCCATTCCCCCTGGCTCCACCAGGATGTACATAACTACAGGACAGCACTAGCTATTCCAGGTGGATGATACAGGCATACCTTGGAGATATTTTGGGTTCAGTTCCAGAACACAGCAATAAAGCAAATATTGCACTAAAGTGAGTCACATGAATTTTTTGGTTTCCAGTACATATGTTTACACTATACTGTACCCTGTTAAGTGTGCAATAGCATTATATCTAAAAAATATACACACCTTACTTAAAAAAAAACTTTATTGCAAAAAAAATGACTGACCATCATCTGATAAAGCAAGGTTGCCACAAACCTTCAATTTAAAAAAAAAAAAAGCAATATCTTCTAAGTGCAATAAAACGAGATATGCCTGTATTTGTTTAGTCACAGGTACTGTAAGTCACCTTCCCCATAGCCAAACCCTTTTCCCTTTCCTCCCTATTAACAGAACTGAGGATTATGATTGGTCCAGGACTACCATGACAGTCCCATTCCTGATTTCCCAGTCTTTCTTGCAGCTAAGGAAGTCATTGACCCGGTTCTGGCCAATGAGTTGAAAGAGGGAGTTGGCTGGGGGGCTCCTGAGACCTCCTTTGCTGGCTCTGACTTTCCATTTTTCATGTTCTTTGTGCCTTGAACACAAATGAGATGGCTAGTGATGCTGCAACCAGATTACAACCAAGAGACAATGAACATGAGATCAAAAAGCCAATATAATCAGGGTGGCAGAGTGGAAAATAGAGCAAGTGTGTATGGTACTTCTGGGCATTCAGATGAAATCCAGCAACAGCCCACCTCTGAACTTTTTATGTGAGAAAGATAGCTCTCGCTAGTTTAAGCCACTGAGACTGGGTTTTCTTGTCCTTGTGGCCAAATGTATTTCTAACTGATACCGTGGCCTGGTAAAGGGCAAACGTCTCTTCTCTCCCTGCTCACCAAATGCCTGCAATAGCTCACCTTTCACACTTTCTTCTTGTAAACTTATATTTATATCTGCCATGACTTATTAAGCTCTTCAGAAGAACAGCACTATAGAAATCTTAAATGTTTTATACATGTATCAACATCCATTCTTCAAGAATTTGTAGAGCAGCTATTAGATGGTGATAATGTACTGGGGGCGCTAAAACGGATTCACAGCCCTGCCTCCAGGGAGCTGACAGCTTAGCAGAGGACACAGCTTGTAAATAGAGTATTACAGTTCCCTGGAGAGAGGGATAATACAGGAGAAGAAATGATGAACACTGCCTGATGGCGGGGAGAAGGGAGACAGTAATGCCTGAGCTGGGCTTTCATGGATGAACTGGAGTTTCCCATCAGAAACTGGGGAAGGGAAGCCATTTCAGGGAAGAGAAAATCTGAAAGACGTTGGTGGACCAGGAGCCTCAAACTCCACATGTCTGAAATTGAACTCATGGTCTTTGTACTGAACCTGACCCATTCTCGGTGTTGCCCATCTCCCCATCCATCCAACCCAACCACCCAACAAACCCTCAGCTCCCTTTCCCTCATGGCACCTCCCCTCGGTGGATTTTGCCTCTTGGCCCCATCTGGTTCTACCCTTCTGCACCAATGCCACCTGCCACCAGAGCCTGTCACCTCTCTCCAGCACTTCCACAGTTGCCTCTTAGCTGGTCATTCTGCAACGTGCTGCTTCTCTCTTCCAAACCAGTGCTCACAGTGTGGCCAGAGATGGTCTTGAAACTCAAAGCTGATCTTAACTCCCATTATCTGTAATTTCGTTCTTTTTGCTTTGCTCTGATGATAATAACCAAAGTCCTGAGCTTTGTCTGAAGGCACTCACAGTCTACAGCATGACTTACTCAGCCTTTTCCCTCTCCCTTGATCTCTTTACTCCAGTCGTGTTGGCCTGCTTTCAGATCCTTGAACAGGTAATACCCTTTATTGTCACTCGCCCTTTGCACATGCTTTTCCCTCTTTGAAGAGAACATCCCCAAAATGAACTCCTCCTCATTGTTCAGATCTCAACTTAACTCAGCCATCACTTACCTGGAATTCGACAATGTTACCTTCCACTGTAAGAGCTCATCATCCCATGTAACTTTCTATTGCAGCATTGATCACAGTTGTAGTGATGCCATTATTGGTTTGATGATTTGATTAATGTCTGTCCTCCAGACTAGACCATGGTATCCGTGACTGCAGGAACTATCTCTGTCTCTGTTGTACCCTTATCTCACAGAACAGAGACTACTACATAGTAGGCACTCAACACATGTTTGTTGAGTTATGAAAGAAATGAACAAATGTGGCTTGGAGTCTTGAGCTAAGTATTTGAGAGTCTATATATTTTTTAACTTTTAATATCAACCTTATTGAAAAGTAATTTATATATGAAAAAATGTACTCATTTTAAATGCCAACAAATATGTTCTCTGATGTAACCTCTACCCTTATCAAATATTTCAAACAATCCAAAAAGGTCCCTTGTGCCCCTTTGCAACCAGTCCCTACTCCCAGTCCCAGGCGACCACAGAACTATTAGTTTTGTCTTTCCTAGAGCTTTGTATATTGAATATATGTGATATACTCTTTTGTGTCTGGCTTTTTTGTTCATCATAATGTATTTGAGCTTCATCTATGTGTTTTGTGTAATTTATTCCTGTTTATTGCTGGTTAGTATTTCACTGTATTTCACAATGCCAGTATTTGTTTATCCATTCACCTGTTGGTGGACATTTGGGTTGATTCCAGTTTTAGGATGTTACAATTAAAGCTGCTTTGAATATTTGTGTATAAGTCTTTTTGTAGATAAATGTTTTTATTTCTTTTAGGTAAATACTTAGGGATATAGTTTTAAGAATCATTAGCATTTAAAGATAAAACCTTGGAGTCACAATGAAAAACTACTTCACGCCCACTAGGATGCCATAATTTTTAAAAAAGGAAAACAACAAGATACGGAGAAGTTGGAACCCTCATACACTGATGGTGGGAACGTAAAATGGTGCAGCTGCTGCGGAAAACAGTTTGATGTTTCTTCAAAGAGTTAAACATAGAATTAGCATGAGACCAAGAAATTCCAGTCCTAGGCATATACCGAAAAAAATGGAATACAGGAGTTCGAATAAAACTTGGACCTGAAAGTTCATAGCAGCACTATTCACAGTAGCCAAAAGGTGTAAACAACCCAAATGTCCATCAACAGATGAACGGGTAAACAAACTGATATATCCATATAACGGAATATTATTTGACAATAAAAAGGAATGAAATACTGGTACATACTACAACATGGACGAGCCTTAATGCCACTGAATGGTGTACTTTAACATGGTTAAAATAGT